CATTTGGGTGACACGTTGAAACACTTTGTCAATCTATAGTCTAGTCTATAGTCTAGTCTATAGTCTAGTCTATAGTCTAGTCTATAGTCTAGTCTATAGTCTAGTCTATAGTCTAGTCTATAGTCTAGTCTATAGTCTAGTCTATAGTCTAGTCTATAGTCTAGTCTATAGTCTAGTCTATAGTCTAGTCTATAGTCTAGTCTATAGTCTAGTCTATAGTCTAGTCTATAGTCTAGTCTATAGTCTAGTCTATAGTCTAGTCTATAGTCTAGTCTATAGTCTAGTCTATAGTCTAGTCTATAGTCTAGTCTATAGTCTAGTCTATAGTCTAGTCTATAGTCTAGTCTATAGTCTAGTCTATAGTCTAGTCTATAGTGTAGTCTATAGTGTAGTCTATAGTGTAGTCTATAGTGTAGTCTATAGTCTAGTCTATAGTGTAGTCTATAGTGTAGTCTATAGTCTAGTCTATAGTCTAGTCTATAGTCTAGTCTATAGTCTAGTCTATAGTCTAGTCTATAGTCTAGTCTATAGTCTAGTCTATAGTCTAGTCTATAGTCTAGTCTATAGTCTAGTCTATAGTCTAGTCTATAGTCTAGTCTATAGTCTAGTCTATAGTCTAGTCTATAGTCTAGTCTATAGTCTAGTCTATAGTCTAGTCTATAGTCTAGTCTATAGTCTAGTCTATAGTCTAGTCTATAGTCTAGTCTATAGTCTAGTCTATAGTCTAGTCTATAGTCTAGTCTATAGTCTAGTCTATAGTCTAGTCTATAGTCTAGTCTATAGTCTAGTCTATAGTCTAGTCTATAGTCTAGTCTATAGTCTAGTCTATAGTCTAGTCTATAGTCTAGTCTATAGTCTAGTCTATAGTCTAGTCTATAGTCTAGTCTATAGTCTAGTCTATAGTCTAGTCTATAGTCTAGTCTATAGTCTAGTCTATAGTCTAGTCTATAGTCTAGTCTATAGTCTAGTCTATAGTCTAGTCTATAGTCTAGTCTATAGTCTAGTCTATAGTCTAGTCTATAGTCTAGTCTATAGTCTAGTCTATAGTCTAGTCTATAGTCTAGTCTATAGTCTAGTCTATAGTCTAGTCTATAGTCTAGTCTATAGTCTAGTCTATAGTCTAGTCTATAGTCTAGTCTATAGTCTAGTCTATAGTCTAGTCTATAGTCTAGTCTATAGTCTAGTCTATAGTCTAGTCTATAGTCTAGTCTATAGTCTAGTCTATAGTCTAGTCTATAGTCTAGTCTATAGTCTAGTCTATAGTCTAATGTCTAGTCTATAGTCTAGTCTATAGTCTAGTCTATAGTCTAGTCTATAGTCTAGTCTATAGTCTAGTCTATAGTCTAGTCTATAGTCTAGTCTATAGTCTAGTCTATAGTCTAGTCTATAGTCTAGTCTATAGTCTAGTCTATAGTCTAGTCTATAGTCTAGTCTATAGTCTAGTCTATAGTCTAGTCTATAGTCTAGTCTATAGTCTAGTCTATAGTCTAGTCTATAGTCTAGTCTATAGTCTAGTCTATAGTCTAGTCTATAGTCTAGTCTATAGTCTAGTCTATAGTCTAGTCTATAGTCTAGTCTATAGTCTAGTCTATAGTCTAGTCTATAGTCTAGTCTATAGTCTAGTCTATAGTCTAGTCTATAGTCTAGTCTATAGTCTAATCTATAGTCTAATCTATAGTCTAATCTATAGTCTAATCCGGATGAAGTCTAGTCTGAAAATGTTTGAAATGTTTAAAACCGTTTAAAAAGCTAATACAAAAATATGAATTTTTGTTGGAGATTATTGTACCTTATGAGCAAGCATGGGTTAATTCTCATTTGTTTCCAATTAAATTTTTCAATATAATAAAATACTGTTTAAACTTTCTGAGTTCAATTTTTATGTATAATTCCAACCACTACTATGCAGATTTTTATACAAATTTCTGATAACAAATTGTTCTTTGTCACTCTCCATTAAAATTTCTGCAGACTAATTTATATTAATTTCAAAACAAAAATAAAATAGTTCTCTCCAACAAATGTTTGTCATTTATGAAGACCAGGAATAAGTAAAAAACAAAAGTTTAAAGATTTAAACATGCCTAAACAAAAGAATTATCCTGGGCACTGGGTGTTTTAAGCACATGAATACAGCAACCAATCGACCAGCAAGCAGCACCAGTTTTCTTTTTCTATACAGGGCTTAGTTGTAACGGACATTTTTTTCTTGTTTATTCCCCAAGGATCTAATTATCTTTCTTTTTGCTACAAATTCTTCTTTTTTATTTTTTCATTTTGAATTTACCAAGTACCTAAAAAACTTTTTTCAATTCCTTTTTTCCTTGTGATACATGTTGAAGATGAAACGAAAAAAATTAAAAACTTTTTTCAAAATAAAATAATTTAACATTTCAAACAGATTTACGATTTTTTTAATTTCGCTATTGTTTTGTTACTGACTTGCAGTAAAATGAATTTACTTTGTTTTGAAAGCCACAGGTAACAGTTGAAAAAAATATAAATTCTAGAGGGGGATTAATATGGAAAAAAAAAATACTTGTGTATTAACAAAAAAAAAAGTGGAGAATAAATAACAGCTGGAAATATAATTAAGTTTGGAAAAAGTTTCAAGTAATGAATAAAAAAATCATGTATTCCAACTGCTAATTTGCAAAAATGTAATTGAAAATTATTTCTATTGTAGAAAATGGACAGCATTTGAGATAATGAAAGGAATTTTAATTAAAAGCATTAACGCTAAATATATCTGTATTGGGGTGGTCAAGGAAAGAAGAAGAAGGCCCAATACCATCAAAATCCCGAAAGAAAGAACTGCACCAGAACTGAACTAGAACTGAAGAAGAACTGAACTAGAACTGAACTAGAACTGAACTGGAACTGAACTAGAACTGAACTAGAACTGAACTAGAACTGAACTAGAACTGAACTAGAACTGAACTAGAACTGAACTAGAACTGAACTAGAACTGAACTATAACTGAACTAGAACTGAACTAGAACTGAACTAGAACTGAACTAGAACTGAACTAGAACTGAAGTAGAACTGAACTAGAACTGAACTAGAACTGAACTAGAACTGAACTAGAACTGAACTAGAACTGAACTAGAACTGAACTAGAACTGAACTAGAACTGAACTAGAACTGAACTAGAACTGACTAGAACTGAACTAGAACTGAACTAGAACTGAACTAGAACTGAACTAGAACTGAACTAGAACTGAACTAGAACTGAACTAGAACTGAACTAGAACTGAACTAGAACTGAACTAGAACTGAACTAGAACTGAACTAGAACTGAACTAGAACTGAACTAGAACTGAACTAGAACTGAACTAAACTGAACTAGAACTGAACTAGAACTGAACTAGAACTGAACTAGAACTGAACTAGAACTGAACTAGAACTGAAATAGAACTGAACTATAACTGAACTATAACTGCACTAGAACCTAACTAGAACTGAACTAGAACTGAACTAGAACTGAACTAGAGCCTAACTAGAACTGAACTAGAACTGACTAGAACTGAACTAGAACTGAACTAGAACTGAACTAGAACTGAACTAGAACTGAACTAGAACTGAACTAGAACTGAACTAGAACTGAACTAGAACTGAACTAGAACTGAACTAGAACTGAACTAGAACTGAACTAGAACTGAACTAGAACTGAACTAGAACTGAACTAGAACTGAACTAGACACTGAACTAGAACTGAACTAGAACTGAACTAGAACTGACTAGAACTGAACTAGAACTGACTAGAACTGAACTAGAACTGAACTAGACTGAACTAGAACTGAACTAGAACTGAACTAGAACTGAACTAGAACTGAACTAGAAACTGAACTAGAACTGAACTAGAACTGAACTAGAACTGAACTAGAACTGAACTAGAACTGAAACTAGTACTGAACTAGGAACTGAACTAGAAACTGAACTAGAACCTGAACTAGAACTGAACTATGAACCCCCTGAATTCACTAGAAACTGAACTAGAACTGAACTAGAACGGAACTAGAACTGAACTAGAAACTGAACTAGAACTGAACTAAGAACTGAACTAGAACTGAACTAGAACTGAACTAGAACTGAACTAGACTGAACTAAGAACCTGAACTAGAACTGAACTAGAACTGAACTAGAACTGAAACTAGAAACTGAACTAGAACTGAACTAGAACTGAACTAGAACTGAACTAGAACTGAAACTAGAAACTGAACTATGAACTGAACTAGAAATGAACTAGAAACGGAACTAGAACTGCACTAGAACGGAACTAGAACGGAACTAGAACTGAAACTAGAACTGAACTAGAACTGACTAGAACTGAACTAACTGAACTAGAACTGAACTAGAACTGAACTAGAACTGAACTAGAACTGAACTAGAACTGAACTAGAACTGAACTAGAACTGAACTAGACTAGAACTGAACTAGAACTGAACTAGAACTGAACTAGAACTGAACTAGAACTGAACTAGAACTGAACTAGAACTGAACTAGAACTGAACTAGAACTGAACTAGAACTGAACTAGAACTGAACTAGAACTGAACTAGAACTGAACTAGAACTGAACTAGAACTGAACTAGAACTGAACTAGAAATGAACTAGAACTGAACTAGAACTGAACTAGAACTGAACTAGAACTGAACTAGAACTGAACTAGAACTGAACTAGAACTGAGTAGAACTGAACTAGAACTGAACTAGAACTAACTAGAAATGAATGAAAAAGCTTTTTGTATGCTTAAGTTCCTTCGTAATAATATTGTGGTTAGGTCTAGTATTTTTCTGTAGACACCTGGAAAATACACATTTATATTCTAAAAAAATTAGATGTCTATTAAATGCAAATTACTTTGCAAAAGTTTAACAGCAATTAAATTTTACTTAATACTAAATAATAATAATTATATTTGTTTTTCTTTCAAAATATTTACAAATAAGCGTTTTTTTACTCAGCCTCTTATTTCTATCTACTCTATTCCAATTACAGCTAAATTACTTCGTTTAAAATGTAAAAATCAACACGGCAGAAGGCGCCAGCGAAGGACAATGATCCCTATTTTAAAAACGTGAAACAACGAGCTTTGATTTGCACAGCAAAGGACAGACAAACTTCAAAACTCATTAATTTGAAATTAAAACGACCAAACACAAATAAAAAAAAATCATGACATCCGAAACCTATTTGGATTTAACATTCGAGCGTAATACAAAAAATATGTCGGGAAGTGGAGGTGGTGGTGGTGGCGGCCATAGTAGTGGTGCGTCAGGTGTGCCCGGAGTTAGTGTTAATGTGGCAAGTGCTGCTGCTGCAGGCGCAGGAGTTGGAGGCAGTGAAAAACGTCCAATTAGACCAAAATTATTAAAATTAAGTGATGTTACGATACCACATCGTAATCGTAAGAAAACTAAAACCAAGGTAAGTCCCTCACACAGTTTATCTAACCAAAAAGCAATTTTTTAGATTTTTATTACACGTGTAAGGGATAGGGATTTGCAAAAAAAATACTATAACTAAATTATTAACTTCATATCTAGAGAAAAGCTTGTTAAAATGTAATCTGTTACGATTGGTTTTAGGTTGTGAGTTGAAAAGTGTTGGAGGGAGTTAGAGGAGAGAAATTTACTATCAAATGCTTTCTTTGATGTTTAGTTTTCCGTTTATTTTGAATTTTTGTGTAGGTTTTAGTAGCAGTAGCTGTATAGAATTTAGTCATATAAATATGTGTTTAAAAATATTTTATTAACTTTTTTACTTTCATTTTATATCAATTTCTTTTTAGAAAGAAACCTTATCTTTTTTGATATCATAAAAGGGTTATGATTATGTTATTAACAAGAATCGTACAACAAACAGTGTATGAAAAAAAAATACTATTTTTGATCAAAAATCTAATCTTTCGATTATTTTCTATAAAAAGAAAATTTCGAAAAATGTCTATAAAAATAGAATTTCTAAAATTTCCATAAAAACAAATTTTTATCAAAATTTTCTGTAAAAAGAAATTTGAATCGAATTTTGATATAAAAGCAAATTTATATCGACACAATTTTCTATAAAGAGAAAATTTTTTCTAGAATTTTCTACAAAAAAGAGAATTTTCTCGAAAATGTTCTATAAAAAAGAGAATTTTCTCGAAAATTTTCTATAAAAAAGAGAATTTTCTCGAAAATTTTCTATAAAAAAGAGAATTTTCTCGAAAATTTTCTATAAAAAAGAGAATTTTCTCGAAAATTTTCTATAAAAAAAAGAATTTTCTCGAAAATTTTCTATAAAAAAAAGAACTTTCTCGAAAATTTTCTATAAAAAAGAGAATTTTCTCGAAAATTTTCTATAAAAAAGAGAAGAAAATTCTCTTTTTTATAGAAAATTTTCTATAAAAAAAAAAGAACTTTCTCGAAAATTTTCTATAAAAAAGAGAATTTTCTCGAAAATTTTCTATGAAAAAGAGAAATTTCTCGAAAATTTTCTATAAAAAAGAGAAATTTCTCGAAAATTTTCTATAAAAAAGAGAATTTTCTCGAAAATTTTCTATAAAAAGGAGAATTTTCTCGAAAATTTTCTATAAAAAAGAGAATTTTCTCGAAAATTTTCTATAAAAAAGAGAATTTTCTCGAAAATTTTCTATAAAAAAGAGAATTTTCTCGAAAATTTTCTATAAAAAAGAGAATTTTCTCGAAAATTTTCTATAAAAAAGAGAATTTTCTCGAAAATTTTCTATAAAAAAGAGAATTTTCTTGAAAATTTTCTATAAAAAAGAGAATTTTATCGAAAATTTTGTATAAAACAGAGAATTTTATCGAAAATTTTCTATAAAAAAGAGAATTTTATCGAAAATTTTGTATAAAACAGAGAATTTTATCGAAAATTTTCTATAAAAAAGAGAATTTTATCGAAAATTTTCTATAAAAAAGAGAATTTTATCGAAAATTTTCTATAAAAAAGAGAATTTTCTCGAAAATTTTCTATAAAAAAGAGAATTTTCTCGAAAATTTTCTATAAAAAAGAGAATTTTCTCGAAAATTTTCTATAAAAAAGAGAATTTTCTCGAAAATTTTCTATAAAAAAGAGAATTTTCTCGAAAAATTCTCTAGAAAAAAAAGAGAATTTTATCGAAAATTTTGTATAAAACAGAGAATTTTATCGAAAATTTTCTATAAAAAAGAGAATTTTATCGAAAATTTTCTATAAAAAAGAGAATTTTATCGAAAATTTTCTATAAAAAAGAGAATTTTCTCGAAAATTTTCTATAAAAAAGAGAATTTTCTCGAAAATTTTCTATAAAAAAGAGAATTTTCTCGAAAATTTTCTATAAAAAAGAGAATTTTCTCGAAAATTTTCTAAAAAAAAGAGAGTTTTCTCGAAAATTTTCTATAAAAAAGAGAATTTTCTCGAAAATTTTCTATAAAAAAAAAGAATTTTCTCGAAATTTTCTATAAAAAAGAGAATTTTCTCGAAAATTTTCTATAAAAAAGAGAATTTTCTCGAAAATTTTCTATAAAAAAGAGAATTTTCTCGAAAATTTTCTATAAAAAAGAGAATTTTCTCGAAAATTTTCTATAAAAAAGAGAATTTTTTCGAAAATTTTCTATAAAAAAGAGAATTTTTTCGAAAATTTTCTATAAAAAAGAGAATTTTATCGAAAATTTTCTATAAAAAGAGAATTTTATCGAAAATTTTCTATAAAAAGAGAATTTTATCAAAAATTTTCTATAAAAGGAAATTTTATCAAAAATTTTCTATAAAAGGAAATTTTATCGAAAATTTTCTATAAAAGGAAAATTTATCGAAAATTTTCTATAAAAGGAAAATTTATCGAAAATTTTCTATAAAAGGAAAATTTATCGAAAATTTTCTATAAAAGGAAAATTTATCGAAAATTTTCTATAAAAGGAAAATTTATCGAAAATTTTCTATAAAAGGAAAATTTATCGAAAATTTTCTATAAAAGGAAAATTTATCGAAAATTTTCTATAAAAGGAAAATTTATCGAAAATTTTCTATAAAAGGAAAATTTATCGAAAATTTTCTATAAAAGGAAGATTTATCGAAAATTTTCTATAAAAGGAAAATTTATCGAAAATTTTCTATAAAAGGAAAATTTATTGAAAATTTTCTATAAAAGGAAAATTTATCGAAAATTTCCTATAAAAAGAAAATGTATCGAAAATTTTTATAAAAAGAAAATTTATCGAAAATTTCCTATAAAAATAAAATTTTTTGAAAATTTCCTATAAAAAGAAAATTTATCGAAAATTTCGCATAAAAAGAAAATTTATCGAAAATTTCCCATAAAAAGAAAATTTATCGAAAAAAAATAACAAGTAAATTTTTCGAAAATTTCCTTTAAAAAGAAAATTTATCGAAAAATTCCTATAACAAGGAAATTTATCAAAAATTTCCTATAACAAAGAAATTTATCGCAAATTTCCTATAAAAAGAAAATTTCTTATGACAGGGAAATTTATCGAAGATAATTTATTAAAAATTGTCTATTAAGAGAAAATTTATCGAAAATTTCCTATAAAAAGAAAATTTCTTATGACAGGGAAATTTATCGAAATGTTTTTTATCGAAGATAATTTATCAAAAATTGTCTATTAAGAGAAAATGTATCGAAAATTTTTTATAAAAGAAATCTATCGAACATTTTTTTATAAAAAACTATTTGTATTGAAAATTTTCTAAAAAAAAGAAAATTTTGCAAAATTTTTGATTTTTTCAGTTTTAGTCCTGAAAAGTTCACTGGGATGCTTTCGTACGAAACTCTTTGTGTCTGTGTTAATGTGTTAAAGCTAATTTTACATGTTGGCAGACATAACGCTTCAATTGAAGTTGTTTTAATTAATGTCTAGGATGCCAAGGCAACAAACATGCAAATGTATGAGTGAACGTTATCTGCTGCAAATGTTTTAGGAATTTAAATAATATTTTTTTACTAGAAAGTTAGAGAATAAAGTTGAACGTAAAATATTGTCAATACGTTTTATGAAAAAATGTGGTTTCAGTTTTTTTTTTTTTTGCCGGAAAATAAATGTGGGAATATTTATGGTATCACAAACAGCATTAAAAGGATGTAAAAGGATTTTTGAGGATTTAAACTAAAGTAGGAAAAATAAAGGAATTAATTTATTTAAATGAATAGTCAAGAAGTGTATTAAGGTGGTATAAAAAAGATTTTGTATAAAAATCGTATTTTTCTCTTTTTCTTTCAGAGCAAAGATCGTTCTGTTTCATCGGTGCGCGATCGTATATATGATGATCCAGCTTATACAGATGACATTAGTCATTTGGCAAATCCCATGCGAAGAAACAGTGTTAATCTTGTAAACTCTGAAATGTTGACTCTTAGTAGTGCTGGTGTGGTGGGTAAAGTTAATTCAGGTGGCAGCAGTTCATTGGGAAAACGCAGCAAATTGACCAAAGAATTTCAGAAACTGGCACAAGAAGATATTGGCCATATAGCGTTTAGTAGCTCGGAAGAAGACTTGCGTTACCAAAGAGCCTCTTCCTCCAGATCAGAGGCTATAGGACGTGGCAGAAGCCTGGAGCGTTCTAATGCTATAATAGGAGAGCAGGCAGAAAAACTAGAGATAAAAAGAAGACCTGAAAAACGCAGTAGCAAACAGAAACGTAATTTGAGTTTGGATAACAAACGTCAGCAATCGCAACAGGAGGGCAAAGAAAATGAGGAAAAAGAACGTGATCGACCACCAGAGCCGCCTCAACGTTTGGCCTTGACACGCTACAATTTGGGCAAGCAGCGCAGTGATGAGGCCGCCTGGCAAAGACAACAAAGTCAAATGGAATTTGCTCAAACGACTCATGATAACGAAGATGTTTTCTCTTTGCACAGTTCGGCCAAAGAGAATCTAAGTGTGGCTGCCTCTACCTCAGCTTCACTCAGTAATGCCAGTACTTCGAAAATGCAAATGGGTAAACGTTTCCTAAAGGGAGAAATCGGTATAAAAAGTTTCAATTATTACCTACTGAAAGAGGGTCTGAAATCTTCCAAGAAATTTGTGGAAAAACAAAAGAGTAATTTTCAATCTTCCACCAATAATACTCTAGCTACTGTGGCAAATTCTGGAGCAGGAGGTGAAGGTATATCCTCTATGTCTTTGGCTAAAAGTAAACTACAAGCCAATAGTGAGGAAAATATCTATGAGGAAATCTTTTTAAAGATGCTCCACCCAGTGAGGAGGATGATGAAAATCAAAATCCTTCTAACAGCAACAAACAACAGGCGGCTTCGTCTAATATAACACACCAAGCTGCGCCGACAGCTAACGAACAGAACATAATGTATGCCGATTGTGAGCTTTGTATGCAACAGTGTGATAAAGCTGATTGTGAATACTGCATACAACCGGAATTAGCCTCAAATATCAATCAGAATAGAACCATTAATCAGACAAACTTTAGTAACAGCAACACCAAAGCTAACAACACCAATAACCGTTTAAATGTGACCAATCTTAATAATAATACTTCTGCTCGTACAGCCATGGAAAATCAAGTTAATTCGGCTCCTATTCTAGAGTTTCAATCCTATAATCCTAACAATCCAGGTGTATATAAAATTGAGACAACTCCGGTAGCCATTACGGGAGATTATAATCCAATTTTACAATTCCAACAACCTTCCACCCACCAACAGCAGCTGCCTCAGCAGCACAAACACTCTCACGTTCAACATCAATCGACTTCAACTACCAGTACCGCTACTACTACCCCCAGTGATCATCATTTGCATCAACATCATTCACAGTTGCAGCACCAGCAACAGACACAACAACATCAATCTATGCCAGCGCAACAGCAACAACAACAACAGCAACATCAACAATTTTATGGTTACAAACAGCCAAATTTCTATACACCTCATAATCAGACTGGATTTTGGTCTCAAACTTCTTCGGTTCCAAGACCAAGGGCTTATATGGTGAGTAAAATAATCTCTATTAAATGGATATTTTTATTTAGCAGAAAATAAATCAGACTAAAGTTCCGAATATATAGTTCTGGCTACAGACCATACTATATAGTCCAGACTGTAGTCCAGAGAATAGTTTGGCCTATAATCCAGACTGTACTTAAGTCTACAGTTCAGGAAAGATCAGAGTCTGAACTTCAGAATATAGTTAGGGCTATAATCTCACTGACTGTAGTCCAGACTGTGGTTAAGTCTGTAGTCCAGAATATATTTAGTTTAGACTGTAGACTAGCCTTAGATGAGACTACAGTTTAAACTGCAGACCAGGCTGTAGAAAATACTGCAGTCCAGACTATAAGAAAGACTATAGTTCGGGGAAGTTACTGAACTAGAACTGAACTTTAGTTCCGACTACAGTCTAGTCTCTAGTTCAGACTACATACCTGACTATAGTTCAGACTATAGTCCCGACTATAGTCCTGACTATAGTTCAGACTATAGTTCAGACTATAGTCCTGACTATAGTTCAGACTATAGTCCTGACTATAGTTCAGACTATAGTCCTGACTATAGTTCAGACTATAGTCCTGACTATAGTCCAGACTATAGTCCAGACTATAGTACAGACTCTAGTCCAGACTATAGTACAGACTCTAGTCCAGACTATAGTACAGACTCTAGTCCAGACTATAGTACAGACTCTAGTCCAGACTATAGTACAGACTATAATACAGACTATAGTCCAGACTATAGTCCAGACTATAGTACAGACTATAGTCCAGACTATAGTCCAGACTATAATACAGACTATAGTCCAGACTATAGTCCAGACTATAGTACAGACTATAGTCCAGACTATAGTCCAGACTATAGAACAGACTATAGTCCAGACTATAGTCCACACTATAGTACAGACTATAGTACAAACTATAGTACAGTAACTTCCCCGAAAGACTATAGTTCGGGAAAGTTACTGAAATAGAACTGAACTTTAGTTCCGACTACAGTCTAGTCTCTAGTTCAGACTACATACCTGACTATAGTACAAACTATAGTTCAGACTATAGTACAAACTATAGTTCAGACATAGTACAAACTATATTTCAGACTATAGTACAAACTATAGTTCAGACTATAGTACAAACTATAGTTCAGACTATAGTACAAACTATAGTTCAGAATATAATCTAGACTATAGTTCAGACTATAGTCTAGATTATAGTTCAGACTTTAGTTTAGACTATAGTTCTGACTATAGTTTAGACTATAGTACAGACGATAGCTTAGTACAGAAAATAATTTAGACTATATTACAGATAATATTTCAGACTATAGGAGAGACTTTAGTCCAGACTATAAACTCAAGAATGTTGAGACTATAGTGAAGACTACAGTCTATATAATAGTTCAGACATTAGTCCAGGCTATATCACTTTAATATAACATCCTTAACTTTTAAACACAGGTCACCGGACATTTTCCCAGTGGTGTTTCGTCTATGCAACGCGTCAACACAAAATCAAGTTCCTCCAGTGATTCACTGCAGCAACAGCACAAATTTAACACCTTCACACACATGGATGCTAATTTCTATAATGGTTCCAATGTAGCCACCGTAACTGGATCTTCTTCGGTCAATAATAGTTACTTGCCACCACAACCCTTGCAACCGTTAATGTATGCCGCCAGCCGTCGCCTGGGAGGATCACAAATTTTGGTCGACAATTCAAATGCCATGTTTGAAAATCCTTCCCAAATTTATAAATCCGATTCGAGAGCATCGATTTTAAGTGAATATTCTTTATCGCGTAGTAGTGATACATACTATGGCAGTCAGAGATATGGTCATCATAATAGGCACTATGGTACTTCACATCTAAATGATCATCATAATTTTGAAAACTCGTTAATGTCTTCATATGCTACGGCGGCACAGAGACGTTACTTTGGCAGTGCCGAGAGTTGTCGTTTTGGTTATGATTGCCGGCGTTGTTCTTTGGATAGTGGTCCCGGAGCGGGTCTTTTAGCTAATACCAGAGGTGCTAATGCAGCGGCACAAAATAATGGGGGTGGGGGATCAGCAGCAGCTGGTGATAAATGTACTTTCTCCGATCATTGTAAATATGATTGCCGCAATTGCGACTGTTCCTCGGTGTACTTTTCTTCGGACTTTGATGATGTCTACAGTGGTGGTGGTATACCCAGAAAAACTGCTAAAGGTACATTACCCTCTACGGGAGGACAACCTCCTCCACCAGCTCTAGAAAACTATGATGTCACGACCAGTAGTGAGAAGCAGCAGGCTTTGAAACAAAACAAATATGCTCAAGATTTCTTTAAACATGTTAATGATGTCAAGCGCAGCATTTATCAAGCGGAAATGCAAAGAAATGGCAATATGGAATCGATGAGTCCTAAGAAGTCAATGAAAAAGGATAACCGTGATAAGGAAAGAGATAGGGAAATATTGGGCATCACCACACTACCCTTGGCCAAAGAGCGCAGTAGCACAAAACCTACTCCCGCTCCCAGAACAAGTCTACAGCAACCACAACAGCCACTAAATCCTGGTCAAACTACACCGCAACCTTTACAAAGACGTTTACCGGTTAAGACCAGTGAGCCTGGCATAGAGAGAAAGGAATACGCTTCGTTGGATCGCTTAATAGCCTCCAACAAAGGAGCAATACCTAAGAACACACGGATAAGTCCTCACAGCAGTCCTAAAGCAAGAGCCAATACCCGAGAGGCACATGATGGAAAACCTAATGAACAGTATATGCCACCAGAAACTACAAACGAAGAAAAGCGTCATGTGAAAAAACACTCAAAGGAATCCTCGAAAATAACATCCTCATCCTTGGCTGCCTCATTGAGTGGTCACCGACGCAAGGATATACCAGCGCCACCACCGCCCTCACCGGCCACCTATGCCGATTTACAAGAATTGCAGCAAAATATGCAAGACACTTTGAGAGATGATACAAAGCAAGAAAGGGACAGGAAACGGAAACGTAAGCAACACGAAAGTGGTGGTAGTGAACATGAAAAACAGCAGCAGCTTCTACAGGAATCAGTAACAACAACAATTACTAAAGATGAAAAACAAGAAGCACAAAATGAAAAACAACAAACAACGGAAGTAACTTTACAACAAGAGCAGAAGCAACAAACTGAAACAAAAGATAGTAAAACAAAGGACCAACATAAAATAGTAGTGAATAATGTGGAGAATAACCTGACAACAATAGATTCAACAGACAATACCAATGAAACCACAAACATTAAAACAATGCCAACAGTAACAGAATCAAATGCAGCAACAACTAATAACACCTCAACCACCAGTGCTGCAAACATAACTGATAATAAAAAGCTTTTACCTGCAGAAGAACAACAACAGACACATACTCTAAAAACAAACGAACAAATATCTTTAAAGTTACCCAACAACAGGGAAAAGGCAGACATTGATGTTGAGACTGAAACCACAATAACAACTCCCTGTACAGCCCAGACACAAACCTCAAACTCTTCGCTGACTCTAGTCTCGGTAACATCCGTTTCATCATCTATTGTTACCGCCTTGGATTCACAACAACGTGACCCGACAGAGGCATATGACGATGATGTTTTCTATGATGCACGCAGTGAGGATTCTGGTTGTACTGCAGCAAGTAGCAGTATGGCTTCCAATACGCAGCAAAAGCATGAACAACAACAGGAACAGCCACAAAAAAAAGAACAGCAGTCTTGTACGGAAACTGAATGTCAACAATCTACAGAAGCACAAAGACAGTTAAAACAACAACAAGGACATCATGAAGTTTCTGAGGAGAAATATTTAAAAAATCTGTCATTGCATCAACAGGTAAGAAGAATAAAAAATAAACGATTTTAGTTTTTTGCCACTAATAGCACAATGGGAAGGTAGATTACAAATGGATACTAAATATATTTATAATAGAACTGAACTAGAACTGAACTAGAACTGAACTAGAACTGGACTAGAACTGACTAGAACTGAACTAGAACACTGAACTAAACTGAACTAGAACTAAACTAGAACTGAACTAACGAACTAGACGACTAGAACTGAACTAGAACTGAACTCGGAACTGAACTGAACTGAACTAGAACTGAACTAGAACGGAACTAGAACTGAACTAGAACTGACTAAACTGACTAGAACTATAACTGAACTAGAACTGAAACTAGAACTGAACTAGAACTGAACTAGAACTGGCAAACTAGAACTGAACTAGAACCTAGACTGAACTATCACTGAACTAGAACTGAACTAGAACTGAACTAGAACTGAACTAGAACTGACTATAACTGAACTAGAACTGAACTAAGAACTGAACTAGAAACTGACTAGAACTGAACTAGAACTGAAACTAACTGAACTAAACGGAAACTAGAACTGAACTAGAACTGAACTAGAACTGAACTAGAACTGACTAGAACTGAACGAAACTGAACTAGAACTGAACTAGAACTGAACTAGAACTTACTAAGAATAGAACTGAACGAGAACTAGAACTGAACTAGAACTGAACTAGAACTGAACTAGAACTGAACTAGAACTGAACTAGAACTGAACTAGAACTGAACTAGAACTAGAACTGAACTAGAACTGAACTAGAACTGAACTAGAACTGAACTAGAACTGAACTAGAACTGAACTAGAACTAGAACTGAACTAGAACTGAACTAGAACTGAACTAGAACTGAACTAGAACTGAACTAGAACTGAACTAGAACTGAACTAGAACTGAACTAGAACTGAACTAGAACTGAACTAGAACTGAACTAGAACTGAACTAGAACTGACTAGAACTGAACTAGAACTGAACTAGAACTGAACTAGAACTGAACTAGAACTGAACTAGAACTGAACTAGAACTGAACTAGAACTGAACTAGAACTGAACTAGAACTGAACTAGAACTGAACTAGAACTGACCTAGAACTGAACTAGAACTGAACTAGAACTGAACTAGAACTGAACTAGAACTGAACTAGAACTGAACTAGAACTGAACTAGAACTGAACTAGAACTGAACTAGAACTGAACTAGAACTGAACTAGAACTGAACTAGAACTGAACTAGAACTGAACTAGAACTGAACTAGAACTGAACTAGAACTGAACTACTAGAACTGAACTAGAACTGAACTAGAACTGAACTAGAACTGAACTAGAACTGAACTAGAACTGAACTAGAACTGAACTAGAACTGAACTAGAACTGAACTAGAACTGAACTAGAACTGAACTAGAACTGAACTAGAACTGAACTAGATCTGAACTAGAACTGAACTAGAACTGAACTAGAACTGAACTAGAACTGAACTAGAACTGAACTAGAACTGAACTAGAACTGAACTAGAACTGAACTAGAACTGAACTAGAACTGAACTAGAACTGAACTAGAACTGAACTAGAACTGAACTAGAACTGAACTAGAACTGAACTAGAACTGAACTAGAACTGAACTAGAACTGAACTAGAACTGAACTAGATCTGAACTAGAACTAGACTGACTAGAACTGAACTAGAACTGAACTAGAACTGAACTAGAACTGAACTAGAACTGAACTAGAACTGAACTAGAACTGAACTAGAACTGAACTAGAACTGAACTAGAACTGAACTAGAACTGAACTAGAACTGAACTAGAACTGAACTAGAACTGAAACTAGAACTGAACTAGAACTGAACTAGACTGAACTAGAACTGAACTAGAACTGAACTAGAACTGAACTAGAACTGAACTAGAACTGAACTAGAACTGAACTAGAACTGAACTAGAACTGAACTAGAACTGAACTAGAACTGAACTAGAACTGAACTAGAACTGAACTAGAACTGAACTAGAACTGAACTAGATCTGAACTAGAACTGAACTAGAACTGAACTAGATCTGAACTAGAACTGAACTAGAACTGAACTAGAACTGAACTAGAACTGAACTAGAACTGAACTAGAAACTGAACTAGAACTGAACTAGAACTGCAATTTGTATTCACGTAGTTTTAGCTTAATTCTTTCTCAATATTAAAATCATATTTAAAAACTTTGCAGAGTTTTGAAATTTTATTCCACTGTGACTTAAATTAATTTCTTTTGCACCCCAGCATGAAGATGGAAAATTTAATATAACTGACAACCTGACTACATTTTCCTTTCGTATATTCAAAAGGCACTAAGTTGACATTACGACAATGTTAAAGAAAACAACAACAACACTTTTAGGAATGAAAAACTTAGAAGTGCTAAGACAAGGTTTTTCAAATACTTGCAAAATTCCTACTGGCAGATGTTTTTCTTTTTGTATTTTATTTTGTTGCATAGAAATTTTGTTGCATAAAACTGTGAATAATTGCCGAGACATTTAGGTGGAGGTTGTATTTTGAATTTTTAAAAGTGCTTTAACAAAATTGATTACATGTTGTGTTTTTTGTTGTTTAAGTTTTTTACTTCTGTAATATTATTCAAAGGAAATTGCCTTGCTACTCACGTTTTGGTAGGGTAAAAATTGGGTGGGTGGATTGAGATGTTAAAGGGAAAATTTAATTTAAGAAATTTTGGATGTTGCTAAAACAGAAATGTAGAATTATTTCAATCCTTTTGGTTCTTCAAAAATTTTCTCTTTTCCAACCTTTTTCAATTAAAGTCTGCAGTAATATTTTTTAATTTTTTTTTAAATATTACAATTACTTATCCATCTACCCACTTTAATGTGAAGTGCTTAACATTGTAACATAAATTTTGATGAATAGCTAAAAATTATGAAATTTTTGTACGAGTACACACCAAGTATTTTTTACGGTTTCTCTTAATGAACGTATTGTTTTTTGTTTAGGTTTTTTGCAAAAAGTTTTCGAAATAAATTTAAGGTAATAAATGAAATCCTTCTCAGTAACCGTGAAAATTTATAATGTTAGTATTTGAATTTGACTGGGAGGCAATTGAAATGAATATAATTACTGCAGAGTTGTGCAAACTTTGTGCTGCCTGTTTATTTCTAGTTAAGTTCTAGTTCTAGTTCATTTCTAGTTCTAATTCAGTTCTAGTTCTAATTCAGTTCTAGTTCAGTTCTAGTTCAAATCTAGTTCAGTTCTAGTTCAGTTCTAGTTCAGTTCTAGTTCAGTTTTAGTTCAGTTCTAGTTCAGTTCTAGTTCAGTTCTAGTTCAGTTCTAGTTCAGTTCTAGTTCAGTTCTAGTTCAGTTCTAGTTCAGTTCTAGTTCAGTTCTAGTTCAGTTCTAGTTCAGTTCTAGTTCAGTTCTAGTTCAGTTCTAGTTCAGTTCTAGTTCAGTTCTAGTTCAGTTCTAGTTCAGTTCTAGTTCAGTTCTAGTTCAGTTCTAGTTCAGTTCTAGTTCAGTTCTAGTTCAGTTCTAGTTCAGTTCTAGTTCAGTTCTAGTTCAGTTCCAGTTCAGTTCCAGTTCAGTTCTAGTTCAGTTCTAGTTCAGTTCTAGTTAGTTCTAGTTCAGTTCTAGTTCAGTTCTAGTTCAGTTCTAGTTCAGTTCTAGTTCAGTTCTAGTTCAGTTCTAGTTCTAGTTCAGTCTAGTTCAGTTCTAGTTCAGTTCTAGTTCAGTTCTAGTTCAGTTCTAGTTCTAGTTCAGTAGTTCAGTTCTAGTTCAGTTCTAGTTCAGTTCTAGTTCAGTTCTAGTTCAGTTCTAGTTCAGTTCTAGTTCAGTTCTAGTTCAGTTCTAGTTCAGTTCTAGTTCAGTTCTAGTTCAGTCTAGTTCAGTTCTAGTTCAGTTCTCTAGTTCAGTTCTAGTTCAGTTCTAGTTCAGTTCTAGTTCAGTTCTAGTTCAGTTCTAGTCAGTTCTAGTTCAGTTCTAGTTCAGTTCTAGTTCAGTTCTAGTTCAGTTCTAGTTCAGTTCTAGTTCAGTTCTAGTTCAGTTCTAGTTCAGTTCTAGTCAGTTCTAGTTCAGTTCTAGTTCAGTTCTAGTCAGTTCTAGTTCAGTTCTAGTCAGTTCTAGTTCAGTTCTAGTTCAGTTCTAGTTCAGTTCTAGTTCAGTTCTAGTTCAGTTCTAGTTCAGTTCTAGTTCAGTAGTTCAGTTCTAGTTCAGTCTAGTTCAGTTCTAGTTCAGTTCTAGTAGTTCTAGTTCTAGTTTCAGTTCTAGTTCAGTTCTAGTTCAGTTCAGTTCTAGTTCAGTTCTAGTTCAGTTCTAGTTCAGTTCTAGTTCAGTTCTAGTTCAGTTCTAGTTCAGTTCTAGTTCAGTTCTAGTTCAGTTCTAGTTCAGTTCTAGTTCAGTTCTAGTTCAGTTCTAGTTCAGTTCTAGTTCAGTTCTAGTTCAGTTCTAGTTCAGTTCTAGTTCAGTTCTAGTTCAGTTCTAGTTCAGTTCTAGTTCAGTTCTAGTTCAGTTCTAGTTCAGTTCTAGTTTAGTTCTAGTTTAGTTCTAGTTCTGTTCTAGTTCAGTTCTAGTTCAGTTCTAGTTCAGTTCTAGTTCAGTTCTAGTTCAGTTCTAGTTCAGTTCTAGTTCAGTTCTAGTTCAGTTCTAGTTCAGTTCTAGTTCAACTCTATTTCAACTCTAGTTCAGTTCTAGTTCAGTTTTAGTTCAGTTCTAGTACAGTTCTAGTTCAGTTCTAGTTCAGTTCTAGTTCAGTTCTAGTTCAGTTCTAGTTCAGTTCTAGTTCAGTTCTAGTTCAGTTCTAGTTCAGTTCTAGTTCAGTTCTAGTTCAGTTCTAGTTCAGTTCTAGTTCAGTTCTAGTTCAGTTCTAGTTCAGTTCTAGTTCAGTTCTAGTTCAGTTCTAGTTCAGTTCTAGTTCAGTTCTAGTTCAGTTCTAGTTCAGTTCTAGTTCAGTTCTAGTTCAGTTCTAGTTCAGTTCTAGTTCAGTTCTAGTTCAGTTCTAGTTCAGTTCTAGTTCAGTTCTAGTTCAGTTCTAGTTCAGTTCTAGTTCAGTTCTAGTTCAGTTCTAGTTCAGTTCTAGTTCAGTTCTAGTTTAGTTCTAGTTCTTTAGTTCAGTTCTAGTTCAGTTCTAGTTCAGTTTTAGTTCAGTTTTAGTTCAGTTCTAGTTCAGTTCTAGTTCAGTTCTAGTTCAGTTCTAGTTCAGTTCTAGTTCAGTTCTAGTTCAGTTCTAGTTCAGTTCTAGTTCAGTTCTTGTTCAGTTCTAGTTCAGTTCTAGTTCAACTCTAGTTCAACTCTAGTTCAGTTCTAGTTCAGTTCTAGTTTCAGTTCTAGTTCAGTTCTAGTATCTAGTTCACTAGTTCAGTTCTAGTTCAGTTCTTAGTTCAGTTCTAGTTCAGTTCTAGTTTCAGTTCTAGTTCAGTTCTAGTTCAGTTCTAGTTCAGTTCTAGTTCAGTTCTAGTTCAGTTCTAGTTCAGTTCTAGTTCAGTTCTAGTTCAGTTCTAGTTCAGTTCTAGTTCAGTTCTAGTTCAGTTTCTAGTTCAGTTCTAGTTCAGTTCTAGTTCAGTTTAGTTCAGTTTAGTCAGTTCTAGTTCAGTTTCTAGTTCAGTTCTAGTTCAGTTCTAGTTCAGTTCTAGTCAGTTCTAGTTCAGTCTAGTTCAGTTCTAGTCAGTTCTAGTTCAGTTCTAGTTCAGTTCTAGTTCAGTTCTAGTTCAGTTCTAGTTCAGTTCTAGTTCAGTTCTAGTTCAGTTCTAGTTCAGTTCTAGTTCAGTTCTAGTTCAGAGTTCTAGTTCAGTTCTAGTTCAGTTCTAGTCAGTTCTAGTTTCAGTTCTAGTCAGTTCTAGTTCAGTTCTAGTTCAGTTCTAGTTCAGTATCTAGTTCAGTTCAGTTCTAGTTCAGTTCTAGTTCAGTTCTAGTTCAGTTCTAGTTCAGTTCTAGTTCAGTTCTAGTTCAGTTCTAGTTCAGTTCTAGTTCAGTTCTAGTTCAGTTCTAGTTCAGTTCTAGTTCAGTTCTAGTTCAGTTCTAGTTCAGTTCTAGTTCAGTTCTAGTTCAGTTCTAGTTCAGTTCTAGTTCAGTTCTAGTTCAGTTCTAGTTCAGTTCTAGTTCAGTTCTAGTTCAGTTCTAGTTCAGTTCTAGTTCAGTTCTAGTTCAGTTCTAGTTCAGTTCTAGTTCAGTTCTAGTTCAGTTCTAGTTCAGTTCTAGTTCAGTTCTAGTTCAGTTCTAGTTCAGTTCTAGTTCAGTTCTAGTTCATTCTAGTTCAGTTCTAGTTCAGTTCTAGTTCAGTTCTAGTTCAGTTCTAGTTCAGTTCTAGTTCAGTTCTAGTTCAGTTCTAGTTCAGTTCTAGTTCAGTTCTAGTTTTGTTCTAGTTTAGTTCTAGATCAGTTCTAGTTCAGTTCTAGTTTCAGTCTAGTTCAGTTCTAGTCAGTTTCTAGTTCAGTTCTAGTTCAGTTTTAGTTCAGTTTTTAGTTCAGTTCTAGTTCAGTTCTAGTTCAGTTCTAGTTCAGTTCTAGTTCAGTTCTAGTTCAGTTCTAGTTCAGTTCTAGTTCAGTTCTAGTTCAGTTCTAGTTCAGTTCTTGTTCAGTTCTAGTTCAGTTCTAGTTCAACTCTAGTTCAACTCTAGTTCAGTTTTAGTTCAGTTCTAGTACAGTTCTAGTTCAGTTCTAGTTCAGTTCTAGTTCAGTCTAGTTCAGTTCTAGTTCAGTTCTAGTTCAGTTCTAGTTCAGTTCTAGTTCAGTTCTAGTCAGTTCTAGTTCAGTTCTAGTTCAGTTCTAGTTCAGTTCTAGTTCAGTTCTAGTTCAGTTCTAGTTCAGTTCTAGGTCAGTTCTAGTTCAGTTCTAGTTCAGTTCTAGTTTAGTTCTAGTTCAGTTTCTAGTTCAGTTTTAGTTCAGTTTTTGTTTCAGTTCTAGTTCAGTTCTAGTTCAGTTCTAGTTCAGTTCTCGTCTCAGTTTCTAGTTCAGTTCTAGTTCAGTTCTAGTTCAGTTCTAGTCAGTTCTAGTTCAGTTCTAGTTCAGTTCTAGTTCAGTTTAGTTCAGTTCTATTTCAGTTCTAGTTCAGTTCTAGTTCAGTTCTAGTTCAGTTCTAGTTCAGTTCTAGTTCAGTTCTAGTTCAGTTCTAGTTCAGTTCTAGTTCAGTTCTAGTTCAGTTCTAGTTCAGTTCTAGTTCAGTTCTAGTTCAGTTCTAGTTCAGTTCTAGTTCAGTTCTAGTTCAGTTATAGTTCAGTCTCTAGTTCAGTTCTAGTTCAGTTCTAGTTCAGTTCTAGTTTAGTTCTAGTTCAGTTCTAGTCAGTTCTAGTTCAGTTCTTGTTCAGTTCTAGTTCAGTTTTCTATTTCAGTTCTAGTTCAGTTCTAGTTCAGTTCTAGTTCAGTTTAGTTCATTCTAGTCAGTTCTAGTTCAGTTCTAGTTCAGTTCTAGTTCAGTTCTAGTTCAGTTCTAGTTCAGTTCTAGTTCAGTTCTAGTTCAGTTCTATTTCAGTTCTAGTTCAGTTCTAGTTCAGTTCTAGTTCAGTTCTAGTTCAGTTCTAGTTCAACTCTAGTTCAACTCTAGTTCAGTTTAGTTCAGTTCTAGTACAGTTCTAGTCAGTTTCAGTCAGTTCTAGTTCAGTTCTAGTTCAGTTCTAGTTCAGTTCTAGTTCAGTTCTAGTTCAGTTCTAGTTCAGTTCTAGTTCAGTTCTAGTTCAGTTCTAGTTCAGTTCTAGTTCAGTTCTATTTCAGTTCTAGTTCAGTTCTAGTTCAGTTCTAGTTCAGTTCTAGTTCAGTTCTAGTTCAGTTCTAGTTCAGTTCTAGTTCAGTTCTAGTTCAGTTCTAGTTCAGTTCTAGTTCAGTTCTAGTTCAGTTCTAGTTCAGTTCAGTTCTAGTTCAGTTCTAGTTCAGTTCTAGTTCAGTTCTAGTTCACTCTAGTTCAACTCTAGTTCAGTTTTAGTCAGTTCTAGTACAGTTCTAGTTCAGTTCTAGTTCAGTTCTAGTTCAGTTCTAGTTCAGTTCTTGTTCAGTTCTAGTTCAGTTCTAGTTAAGTTCTAGTTCAGTTCTAGTTCAGTTCTAGTTCAACTCTAGTTCAACTCTAGTTCAGTTTTAGTTCAGTTCTAGTAACAGTTCCTAGTTCAGTTCTAGTTCAGTTTTAGTTCAGTTATAGTCAGTTCTAGTTCAGTTCTAGTTCAGTTCTAGTTCAGTCTAGTTCAGTTCTAGTTCAGTTCTAGTTCAGTTCTAGTTCAGTTCTAGTTCAGTTCTAGTTCAGTTCTAGTTCAGTTCTAGTTCAGTTCTAGTTCAGTTCTAGTTCAGTTCTAGTTCAGTTCTAGTTCAGTTCTAGTTCAGTTCTAGTTCAGTCAGTTCAGTTCTAGTTCAGTTCTAGTTCAGTTCTAGTTCAGTTTCTAGTTCAGTTCTAGTTCAGTTCTAGTTCAGTTCTATTCAGTTCTAGTTCAGTTCTAGTTCAGTTCTAGTTCAGTTCTAGTTCAGTTCTAGTTCAGTTTCTAGTTCAGTTCTAGTTCAGTTTTAGTTCAGTTCTAGTGACCATTATTGTTTTATAACATTATTTTTTAGTTAATTAAATTTCCTTTCAAAATATTTTCCTTTCGCTTCCGATCATTAACGAATTGCACTTTAATAGTTTAAAATATTACTAACGTTTTAGTAAAAATTTTAAACTTACAGCAAAATTTTTCAACACATTAACCTTGAATTATGAGCAATTTGTCTAAATTTGAAAGAAGACATCATCCGCAATTTCCAACACTTTCGAAACAAACAAACAAACAAAACATTTCCTTTCCCCTTTTAAACATTATTAATAATTAAGGTCCATTCAAGCTTGAATACTTTTAACAACACATACTAGCAAGATTTGATTAATAGCAAAACTCGAAGCAACTTTTTCTTTTCGAAAAAAAAACACCTGCTGCATAAACAGGAACTTTCTTAAAGAAAGGAAAAAAAACATACATTATTAAGTTGGAAGGAAAAACTTTTTCTTTTTAAATTAAGGAAATTTATTTGTTGTTTTTTTTTTCAGCCAGTACAGGATGCCAATGAAGAGGAGCTACAGCAGCAACAGCAACAACAAAAGAACCTTGAGTTTGAAGGACAACAAGAAAATGAGCAGCAACAAGAACAGACAGCAGATTGTCATAAAACAAATGAGGCATTGCAGCTGGAGCAGGAGCAACAAATGAATAAAAATGAAGTGAAAAAGAAAAATAACAACAGCAACAATAAAGATAAAACAGATAAGCAGTTACAAGGCGACGATAATGAAGTTACAACAACTGGCAACATAGAAAATGTTAACGATGAAAAACAACAACAACAACAACAAATCGCAGACAACATAAAACCCAACCCCACCACTATTAAGAACGATGAAGAGGTGGTTGTTGTTGCTGGAGACCCTGCCTTGGAGCTCAAGGTTAACAAACACACCAAGAAACACAAACAGGAAATCAACGAATATAACAACAAAAACGAATTGGAAATAAAGAGCAACAACAACAACGACAACAATAACTCCGCACAATTTATTACGAAAGACAACGATAAAACAAATAAAACGATAAAAGAGAAATGAAACGTACGGGCAAACATAAACGTGATTACTTGCAGGAGGAAGAGAGAAGAGAAACAGATTGAGAAATCAACAGCAGCAAATGGAAGATGAAAAACCCACCACTACCGTTATAATGAGCAAAACATTGCCAGCTGTAACAGCAACAGCAACTTCCTCTACTAATAAAAAGTCACGCAGCCAAAGACGTTCACCCTCCTCCGCTCATGGTGCTGGTGGCGGAACTGGACGTGACCAGCCGCAACATAAAATAACCACCTCCACTTTGAGTTGTGATACATGTTGCCAATTAGAGTGGTCACAACAAGACCCCTACAATAACTCACCACAACAGCAGCAACAACAGCATTCACCACAAACCCTCAAGCCACCCACACTGCACATTGGCATGGCGGGGCAGCCAACACGTGTCAGTAAACGTAAAAACAGCAGTAGTAGTGGTAACAGCCGCGAAAGAGCGAGCAAAACAAAACAAGAAATAAAAACAAAAATCATTTACAGCCAAGAAAAACCAGAGAGCACAACCACAACAACGATAATAACAACAAAAATACCACGAGAAACCGGAATAACGACAGTAACAAAACTAAACAAAACAAAAGAAACGGACACACAAAACCGAATGAAAACAGAGCAAGAAACCACAAGAGATGAATTGACATGCTCACCTAAAATGAAATCCACAAATGTTGCTGAAACAAAGTTGCTGGAAGAACAACATAATAAAGAGGATTTAGAAAATGTTGAGAGGGAAACTAAGGAGAATGCTAAAGAAAATACTTTAGAAAATCCAGATATTTTAAAAGAAATTAAAGAAATCTCTAAGGCTATAGCAACTCTGCAACATGATGCTGAAACAAGTGATTCAGCAACATTAGAAGCAGAGAAATTAATGCTAGAAAAACATGTTGCTGAAACATTAAGTGTTGAAGAAATGCCAGAAGAAAAACTAGTTTCCACTAAGACAACAACAACTACACCAAATGTTGCTGCTGCTGATGATGATGCTGCAGCAACTACAGCTACTGCTGCTGATGTTGCTGCAGCTACAGCTAGTACTAATGCTCTCAAAGAAGTCAGTGTTTTAATGCCCATGGATCAACAAACAACTAACGAAGCTGTTGTTGATATAGAAGCTGCGACAACGTCGTCAGCACTCACTGCCAATGACAGTAAAACCAATACTACAAACATCAGTTGTAATTCGGAGTTTGCAGGTGTCACAACACACTCGCCGCATAACAGGTACGCGTTATTAATAATTTTTTTTTTTGTATAGAAATACTATTGTATCTACTACAACTCTATTCTGTGTTTATATCTGTTGGCTGGTTAGTGTGACTCTTATTAGCCAAATAAAGTAAAATGCGAAAAAATATACTCGATACGAGGGCAAAAGAATTTTAAAAGAAAAAAAAAAAAATATATTAAATAAAAATACACACTTGTTGTTAAGAATCGAAATAAATTAAATTTAAAATTAAAAGGATGAAAAAAGTGCTTTAAATTAAACAAGAAAATTTGAAAAATGTTCAAAACAACAAAAAATTTTAAACAAAAATATCAAAACCTTAAAGCTAAATACATCTGAAAACTGAAATTATTTTGGGGAAAAATTTTTTAACAAAAAAGTTGCCCCGAAAAAAGTTTTCATATTTAAATTTCTTGATAATTAAAAATTCTATTAGCTCTACATATTATAAAAAATCTAAAGAAAAATCTAGTAAAAAAAAATTTTAATCAAAAGTAAACATTTTTTTCTTATTATAAAAAAGAGCAAATGGATTACATTTTTGCTAACAGCATAAAAGTGGAAAAAAATGTGCATAATATATAAATAATATAATAGAGTGAACAAAAAAGTGAACCCAAAAGAAAAAAGTTTTGAAAAATTATACACAAGTTTTGCTACTTTACAAAATTAAGAAATATAAAGAAATATGAAAAAAAAGTTTTAAAAATAGTTTATAAATTTTCCTATATAACTTAAAAATTAACTAAAAAAATTCCAAAAATAGTGAAAATTATTAAATTTAACAGTAAATAATAAAATGAAACAACTATAACAATTTTCACAAATATATGTTAAATATGTATATTTAAAAAATTAATTGATAAATCTGTGAAAAATTTAAATGAAAGAAAAAAAAAATAAACAAAATTTTTAAATAATTAAATACTAAAGCCAAATATATAATAAAAAATAAATAAAAAATGCAAAATTTTCCTGCCCTAGCACAGAGTGCCACATTTTTCCAAACTACAAGGACAAAAGTCAAAACAAAAAAATTTTCCAAAAAAGGTGTTCAATTTCCGCGATTTTTATATATATACCTAATGCTCCGTCCGCCAAATTTATTATCCAAATGTTCACATAGAAGTTCTTCATGCAAAATTAGAAGATCTTCCAATTCCAATAATACCCTAGGCATGCAAATGTTTGTATTAAATTCATATGTTAGGTACCACGCCCCCTATTGATAGTTCGCCAATTTATTACCGAAATGTTCACATGGATGTTAGAATTAATCATGAAAAATTTTTAGTATTTTAGTTCAAATAGTTTCACACATACATATATGTATATGAATTTTTGTATTTAAAGCAGTGAAAATCCGCCCATTTTCCCCCAAAATGTTTGTGCAAAATTTGAAAATTTTAGCTCTAATATTTTTCCAGATAAAAGAATTGTTATGTTTCATTCATATGGCAGGTGTCCTATCTCCTATCCGTCAATTTATTACCCAAATATTCACAAGTTGTTCCTGCAAAATTTAAGGATTTTAGCTCTAATAGTTTCTCAGTTATACGCTTTTTTGTTTTTTATATGAGAGGTTTCAAGACCTCTTAATAAAAGTTCCTCCCTCCCCCCTTTTTCTCCAAAATGTTCACATGGACGTTAAAATTCTTCGTGCAAAATTTGAAGATTTTTGCTCTAATTGTTTTCCAGTTCCTGTTTAATTCATATGGGGGTGCCACGCCCCCTATTGCTAGTCCGCCAATTTATGACACAAATATTTACATGGATGCAAAAGTTGTTCGTGCAAAATTTGATTGTAGCTGTAATTGTTTCCCTGATAGACTATTTAATTCTTTTTTCTATTTAATTCATATGGGAAGTGCCTCGCTCCCTATTGCTAGTCCGCCCATTATTTGTCCTAAATATTAAGAATTTCTTATATGGGAGATGCCGCGCCTACTATAGCTAGGCCGGCCATTATATGCTCATATGTATGTCAAAGTTCTCCATACCGAATTTGAGGACTCTAGCTATTGTAGTTTCTGAGATATCCAACTTTTAATTCTAATTTAGGATGTGGGCGTGGCACCTTGCCTTATATTCTGATAATGCTATTAATATATGCTAAAAGTACATTAAAACTTATTTTTTAAAGGTACGAAATTTGGTCGGGTTTGATCGTCGGAATATATAATATACACTCGCTAATATCTGTGGTATCAATTTCTAATGGATGCTAACTTTTGCGACCCCTATATCCTACAATATTTAATTTAAATTAAAATCAATTAAATAGTTTAGAAAATTTACGATGTCAAATTTAATGCATGTGTAAAAAAAATCTTAAAAATGTACACTTTGAACCTTGATAAAATCCAAATCATTTTAAAACCTTTGAGAACTTTAAACTTCGTTTTTATACGACGAATATTGCAAATTTCATAAATATCGGAAAGGATAAGGTACCTTTTCCTCTTCGAGAATTTTTAAAATGTCCCTTCAATCTAAAAGTGATATTTTTAGCCTTTATGGATTAAATATCTTTACAATTTTAAGAATATTATCTTAAATCTAATGCACATGCTTGACCTAAACTTAATGATGAATCCTACACAAAATGTGGGCGATAATATCATGGTCACGCCCACTTTATTTGCTTTATTTTATAATTATGCTGAAGCTGAAGTTTACTATAGTCAGAATTTAGTTTAACAAATATAACTAAAATATTTATATTGACCATGCCCACTTATAAAAAAATATACCTTAATGTTAAAAATAATTAACTATTTACATTAAAGTTGTAAATATTTGTAAACATTCAACTGTTTTACAAAATGTTTCTTTATGGGCATGGTTATCATAAAAATTATATTAGATTGTGATATAAATTTTAATACATTTTAAAAATATTTTTTTTACAATTAATTTAAATTTATTCACTTAAGTACATAAATGTTCTATATAAAAAGTAGGCGTGGCTTTATTATAACAAACGCCTATTTATTTGAAACATTTTAAAATTTATAAAGCTTGATTTTGTTTGTTTGGTTTTAAGATTATTGCTTTTTATTGTTTAGCAGTAAAATACGAAGTGAGCGTGGGCATAATATAACCGCCCCTTTTTTTGATGGGGCTATTCTAACGCTTATTGTGAACATACATATATACTTAATATGAAGTATCTTCTTTTAATATTGGACTTTTGTCGTAGCAGATGGTACTAAATGTGGCGGCACTGTGCCTAGATAGGAGTTGAACTCGAGCCTGGAATAATTATTTATTCTTTAATAATGAATTCATACAGTTCAAAGAAAATTAAAAACTTAAATTTTAATAATAATAATTGCACAGTTATAAACTAAATCATTTGTTTTATTCCAAAAAAAGAATGCTATATTCGGCAGTACCAAATCTGACTGACATACATACTTTTCAAAATAGTGGATTTTTGATTTTTTATAAATTTTATATAATTTTTTAAAATTTTTTTCCTATTCTTAATTTTTTTTTAATTTTTTTTTTCTGAATTTTATTCAGATTCGGGACCAGGGCCATTCTTTATAATTCCTGTTTTTTATGTAAAATTTAACTTTAAGGCAGAAAAATTTCAAATCGCGAAATGGATATCAAATTAGATGACAATATGTTCTTATTTTATATATTTTTTTAGCCCCGTCCCGGCCGAAAAACAATCCGTTTTTGAAGATTTTCTTCAATTTTTTGGGGAATTGTGGGATTCCTGATAACAAATTTAGTGCTCGGAGTATGTAATTTTGTTAGAAACGGCACACAAAAGAAAAAATGGGATCATTTTAAAGATCTAATTTGTCCAACTTTGCGGACTACTGGCAGCGCCCTATTCGGTCCATGAGGAACAAAAATCAAAGATCTTTCACATGATATCATAATTTCATATCATTCCTTTGCGTAAAACATAAAACAAATTGAAAAAATCTTAAAAATTATATTTTTATCCTTCGACCCAGCATACCAAATATTGACGAAACCCCAAAATCAAAGTATACATTTCTAAAGGCTTAATGTTACATGGGGGGCTAGGGACAAGTGTTGATAAATTTTGCCCATTTTAAGTAGCAACTGCAGAGAATGTTTTAAACGGACAACAGTTTCTAGATACTCGTAAAATCTAAACTCTTTTATGGGTGTACGACCAATATTTCTCAAATTTCACTTTACTAGTCCAAATGAGGTGAAATTATGAAAGCTTTCAACATCATACCAAAAACCATTTGAAGTATACTCACCACTGGTCATTTGAGTCTGTAATGCCCAACTTTCTTACTTGGTTCGTTAATGGACTTGTTCAGAATCAAGTATTTGTAACTCTAAAAGCAAATTTTCTATAATATTGAACCTACAAACATAAAATTAAGCGAATAACGTCCGTCGCATATGAGAACCTATAAGAGGGGACTTTTTGATACTTTTTCGTTCTTCAAAAGGTACTTTTTGAATTGTCTCCAATATTGAACCTAAAAACATGAAATTAAGCATATAGAGCCCGCAGTAAATAAGAACTTATAAAAAAGGATATTTTTGGTACTTTCTCGTTCTTTAAAAGGTACTTTTTGAATTGCCTCTAATATTGAACATAGAAACATAAAATTAAATATTCGATGTCTTCATCGAATATAAAGCTGTAGAAAAGAATTTTTGGTACTTTTACGTTCTACAAGTGGTACTTTTTTGGGTTTTCTGTAATATTGAGTCTAGAAACATTTAATCAGGCATATAGGATCCTAATGATATGACAATCTATAAAAGTAAGATTTTTGCTACTTTTTCATACTTCAACTAATGCCTGAAAAGCTATAAAATGGGACTTTCTGGTACTTTTTCGTCATTCAAATGGTACTTTTTGGGTTTTCTTTAATATTGAATCTAGAAACATATAATCAACCATATGGGATCCTGCTGGTATGAAAATTTATAAGAGTGTACTTTTTGGAACTTTTTCGTTCTTCAACTGGTACTTTTTGAA